AGCTCGTCTCGTGTCACCAGCTGCGCCTCTCGTCTCCGCCGCCGCTCCGTTGTACCCACGCTACGCCGCACCTTACGTCGCTGCCCCATATGCAGCTGCCCCTTACGTGGCATCTCCTTACGTAGCATCTCCTTACTTCGCCCCCTCCGCTCCTTTCGTCGCCCTGAAATAAGACTGAATCCTAGATGAATTTTGACTAAAGTTAACTACCACTAGTATCCAATAAATACATTTATACCTCATAAAACGATTTCTTTTATTTGTGGTACTGAAATATTTTTATTATGTACGCCACTTTTCTTTGGTTAAAAGAGTTTCACGCATAAACCTTCATAGTAAACAGTGACGTAGTCTTACCAGTGGAAAAACGTCTCCTTACTACATAAGTCGCCAAGAAAAACATATGATTTATGAAAACAGTTGTAGCTATTGCAAAGCTGCTGCGTTAATTTTTTTGTTAATCTATCTTTTACGATAACCTAGTTTTAGAAATGAAACCGAAAGAAAAAAATCCTAGGAGATGAATACCCAAGTTACTTATTGTTTAAGCCACTCTACTTCAACACTAATATAGCATTAAAAATCACAGAAAGCTAAGGTCAAATACAAGCACTAAAAGTTTGGTGTAATAAAGATATAATTAAAATATCACATGACTCTCATCTGACCTCATGAACAAAGCGACCCTTTTCGACAGAATAAAATAATAGGACATAATTGTTGAATGGTTTTCACACACACACATACATAACGAAGTTCCTGTCCGAGACGAGACTTCTGAGGGAGTCCTTGAGCTTAGTTACTCATTAACAAGGTTTAGGCTTAGCGGCATCTGCGCTCGGCCAACTAAAGTCCGGTGATGCTGTAAACGCCTCCTCGATGCAAACAGTGATAAATCAGTAAAAAAACGCAGCCTATGAATTACAAAAGATAACTATGACCTCTAATTAATACTTTTTAACAGTTGTAGTGCCCGCTTTAACATCTTAGCACGAATGGGCCGGCACGCCCGTTGTAATACCACGACCACACAGAAGACGGGCGTGAAATGGAACGAATGCCGAGTTTCGTATGATGAGTGTGGTGCCGGAGGCCTAATTTAAGTCCCTTTCTCTTTACCACCCTTTTTTTTGAGAGGATGGAAAGGGGAAGTGGATTTGACGATGGAGGAGATGCATAGGAAGAGGAAATATCCTCTTTATGTGCGTCTCCTCCTCCGTCGGATAAGGGTAGGCAACGCATCTGCAATTGCATATGTCTATGGGCAGCGGTCGCTTCGCCATTATGGCGGATTCAGGTGGCCGCTTGCTCGTTTGCCATCTTGTGTTATAAAAAAAAACCTACTAATTAAATATTTACTTTAAGCAACTTCGTTAAATTGACCACTACAAGTTTTCTATAACGAGACACTCTATGTAATTATGTATCTATTCAATAGTAATTAGAGACTAGCCTAATTTATTTAGATAACCTGTTAGTAAAATTATGGCTTGAGTGGCTGAACGTTTTAATTTAGACTGCAAAAAGCACTGTTTACTTTATCAACTACTGCAGAAAATATTAATAAATACATAGGTAATTTATTTTATTACATGGATATGATTTTTTTTATATTCTTGTAGTATCATTTTATGCATTTCAAATTTCTAGATGCAAATCTTACAATTCAAATAAAAATCTTGTCAGTAATTTACGTTTTACGTTAGTAAAATAAGTAAATAACTGACAAAAACAACGCGATCTGAATGTTTAATATTGAAATGCTCCAGATCATGTGTTGTGTGCGATGTCCGGGACGTTTTTTTTTTAAATTTTACTTGTTCTTCGTGGCGTAAACTGTTTTAAAGAGTATTCCGTGCAGTACATATGTCGACACAACACAAGGTGAATCTCTTCGTCATCTTTTGTATATAAAACCAGCGAATTATGGTTAGACTTATCACTTCTATCTGTTCCACGCAGACTAAACAATCAAAATGTTCAAGGTACTATTAGATGCTCTTTTCTATTTTTTGGCCATCTAAACAGTCTTGTAAGAGAGGTCACTTTCTTTTGGGCTTTAAAGTATGAACTTAACTATTTACATGTTCAGCATCTTAGGGTCATTTCCGTATAAGTAATATCTTTGCTTTGAGTGTCTAAGTATCTAAGGATATTTAAGTTTATTCGTTTGTTTTACAAAAGTTTT